CCCAGAGAGAAGGAATTTTGCCAGCAGACTGCCTCCTTGGAGCCCCCAGCCTGCCAGCCTCCCTCATCAGCCTTTGGACCTGCCAAGGCTTACAACCAGGTGAGCTAGTTCCCTAACGTAAACCCCTCTGCACACACGTCCTTATGGTTCCATTTCTCAGGAGAACCCTGAATAATAGAGTAGTAGCCCCCGAAGGCCAGTGGTCCCCAAGTCAGCTGGGCTGTCCCCACCTAGCAGCCATCCTCAGGGCTCTTCCAGCTGCAGCTCCCACCCCCAACAACAGCTATTTCAAACTCTTGACCTTTTTGGCCTCCAAACTCTTACTTTGCAGGAAGAAAACCCAAAAAACAAAAAACGGGCATTCAGGAGGGAGCTCCCCTAACATGTGCCTCTCCCCTAACATGCGCCTCTTTGGGGACTTTTCCCACCCAGCCCCCCAAAGCATAGCGCCTGTCCTCCTTATGCTTCACTCTCCCCCGCACCCCACTCCAAAAGCCCAATCCTAACACCTTTGCACCCCTGACCAGAACCTTGTCTTCTTCCTTATCAGTTTTACCCAGCTCACCAGGCGTGGTGGCGCATACCTGTGACCCCAGCTTGCAGGCTGAGGCAGGAGGATCGCCGGGACTTTTTTACCCATTTCTTTCCTATATCTTTAAACACAGAACAAACAAAGCCAGGCATGTTAGGCAAGACCTTCCTGTACCTCAAACTCTTCTCTCTTACCAGTCTCTTTCCTTTGCTAGCCAAGCTTGTGCAGAGAGCTGTCTTGGGGCCCAAGTGTGGCTCAGTGGCTGAGTGCATGTGGTTCCTAGCTGTGCAAGGCCCTGGGCTCCATCCCCAGCACCGCAGGTGGGGGAAGGAAAGAGCAACAATATCAAAGAGCCGGCCAATGCTCTAACTCTAGATCTTTACCTCCCAGTTACCTCTGCCCTCTTAGTCTGGCTTCTGCCATGCTCCCCTGCAGGAAGCTGCTCTCCCCATGTGGAAGCCCCAAATTGCCAGGCCCAGTGGACATTTTTCAGTCCTTCCCTTCAATCCTGAAATTCACTTCCCTTGGCACATCCTTTTTGGAACTCTATCTGCTCCTACTTGGTTTTTCTTTTGTTTTTTGAGAAAGGTACTCGTATAGTCCAGTCTGCCCTGGAACTTTATTATCCTGCCTCAGCCTCCCAAGTGCAAGAATTACAGGTGTGTACCACCATACCCACCCAGCTCCTTCTGGTTTTCCTAATTTTCTTGTTTTGTTTTGTTTTTCAAGACAGGGCTTGCTATGTAGCATATAGTTCAGGCTGGCCTTGAACTCACTATGTAGCCCAGGCTGGCTTCAACTTTGTGGCATTCCTCCAGCCTCAGGCTCCCGAGTGTTGGGACTATAGGTGTGCACCGCCATGCTTAGCCTCTGTCATGATTTGAATCACCACCCCCAACTCCCTCTCTGTTCCACTCTGGGCTCCAGACTCATCCACTCCACTATGACTCTGTCCTCCTGGACATTTGCCGAGGCGCCTGTATTAGTTCTCTATCACCGAATAGCACATTGCCCCACGCTTAGTGACCTTAGCAATGCAATCTTTTATTCCTAGGCTTGGGAATCCAGAAGAGCCTTACTTGGGTGGTTCCAGCTCAGAGCATCTCACAAAGCTGAGGTGGAGGTGCCATTCTGGCCAGCCACAGGAGGCCTTGCCGGGAGCCCTGCTTCCAAGCTTGCACAGTCATACATGGCTGCCTGGGGCCCCACAGGGGACCTCACCTCCTCCTCCGGAGGAGACTGTGCCTGCCTTTTCGTACTCACCTCCAGGAGTGAGCTCCCATTGCGTCCCTTTGGCTTTACCCTGCCCCCATGGCCTCTCACTAGGGTCCACAGGCTAGTCTTGAATTCCTGGGTCAAGGGATCCTCCTGCTTCAGCCTCCTGGGTGCTGGCAGTACAGTTGTACACCATTATGCCGAGCTACTTCTGCTGTATTCTGTTGGCCTTGACACACTGGGGGAAGGACCCACACAGAGAGGGGCACAAACATGGAAGGTAGGGATCATTAGGGTCTTCTTGGAGGCTGGCAATCACAATACCTCAGACTTAACCTATCCACAAAGGAACTTTCTTCTCCCCACCCTACTTTCCAATCTGTTCCAACCCATACATCTGGAATCTTGATTCTTCCTTCCTTAAGCATATTCTGCAATCAGTCACTGACTCCAGTCAACCTCTCCTTAACATCCCTGCACTGTCTCTGTCTCTGTCCCCTCGAGAGTACCGCCTGGCCGTGTTGTTGCTCTTTTCCTTTGGATCACTTTGCTTCTCATCCAGTCTCCTTGCCTGATGTCTCACCTGCTAAGCCCCCCTCCACACTGTTGCCAGAATGATCTTCACACAGCTGAACCCCCAACAGCTTTTCTGTTTTCTTTAGGGTGAAAACCGGGTCCCTGGACATCGGATACAAAGCCTTTGATGACCCAGCCAGTGGCTGTTGCTCTCACAAGCTCCACATTGAATCCTCTTCCTAGCCACAGTGTCTCAGTGAAGTTCTCAGGTGTGAGGATCATTTGCCTCTGAGCCTTCTTGTAGGATACACCCTCCTTCCAAATATCAAAGATCAACTCTGGTTCATTCTTCACAACTCAGAGGGTTGAAAGCAGGAACTGCATCTCATCCTCTCAGTACCTTAGCATCCAGCGAGGTGCCCACTGAAGGAGATGTTCAACAAATGTTGGATGGATGGATGGATGGATGGATGGACAGACAAGCAATTCCTGTGTGCTTGGTCCTGATGGCATGATTGGCGTACAGGGAACAGCTGGTCTACCTCTCAGTTCCCTCCCTCCTTGGACTAGCAACTCCCTCCAACATATGCCTTTGCATCAGACACAGCTAGAGAAACAACCATCCAACCTCATGGCCTATCTACTCTGTGCCCTTGGGAACATCATTTACTGTCTCTGTGCCTTTAGTCTTCATTTGTAATAAGGGTTAATAAAAAGGAGAGGATGCTGGGCATAGTGGTAATCCCAGCACTCCGGAGGCTGAGGCAGGAGAATCGCCATGAGTTCAAGGCCAGCTTGGGTACATAGTGAGTTCAAAGCCAGCCTGAACTACACAGTGAGACCCTGCCTCAAAAAACAAACAAACAAAATAAATAAATAATCATTGCACTCTGGGAGGCTGAAGCAGGAGAATCATAAATTCAAGCCCTGCATCAAAATCAAAAATGAAAAGGTCTAGGGATGTAGTCAGTGCAAAGGATCTGGTTCCAGTGCCCAGTACTGCAGAAAAAGAAAAGAGAAGGAGAAGAAGAAGGAGGAGGAGGAAGAAGAGGAGAAGGAGGAAGGGGAAGGGGAGGAAGAGGAGGAGGAGACACAGTAGCTGGTGTGGTGGCACACATCTGTAATACTAGCACTTGGGAGGCTGAGGCAGGAAGATCATGAGTTCCAGGCCACCAGCCTGGGCTATACAAGACCTTGTCAAAAAAAGAAAAAGAAGGAGAGAGAAGGGGGTGGGCACTGGGTAACCATGTTTCATCCACCCTGAATGATAAGGATTGTCTCATTGTCACAGCCTCTCCAGCCTTAGATCCTGGAGACAGGTTTCACCACTTCCCAACAGACTGACATTTGGTGAGTACTGCTGACCTCCAAGGTCAGGCCCTCGGGGTTCCCTTGTACACACCCAGAGCCTTGAACAGAATCCTACAGATTGTGACAATAATCTTCAGAATTCATCCTGTATCTTTATTTTAAATCATCTTTACACTGTCATATCTTGCTAGATCTTCAGGCAAAGGAAGAATTTTCAAGGTGAAAAACTTGAGGTTCAAAGTGACTCTCCTAAAGCTCTGTGTCACTGCTGTCAACACAAGGTCAATAGCTGCCCTCAGAGGTCTGCATGCCTGTGGAGACGTAGTCATGTTTTTCTGATTGGTGGGCAGCAGAGGAGTGGTACTGTGGTGTGAGAACCATGAGTAGAAGACAAGCTTGGGTTCTAAAACTGCTATAGTTGAAGGGAGAGAGAGAAAAAGTGTCATGGTCCAGAAAGAGGAGGTCTATTTTAGGAGGTCATTTTCTAGCCTGGGTAAAATGGAGAAATTAGGGAAGTTCTTTGAAAGCAGAAACTTAGCTTACTGCTATATCCTTGGTGCCTAATACAGTTCCAGAGATATCCTTGGTGCTCAATAAATGTCTGTTGGCTGAATTGGAGATTTGGGAGGAAGGAGAGAGGAGAGAACTTGAGAGAGTTTAGAAGCAAGAATCAAGGGGGAGAGAGTTGAGAAAAAGGAAGTCCAGGGGCCGGAGATTTAGCTCAGTGATTCCACAGCAAGCGCAAGGACCCGAATTCGATCCCTGGCACCAAAAAAAAAAAAAAAAAAAAGTCCAGAAGAGAGACTTCAGCTAGGTGCCCCTGCTTTGCTTACTCCAAGCCATTGGTAAATCCTCCAGAGGAACAAGGTGCTGTGGCTTTAAATGACTTCAGCATTGTCAATGAATCTGCTTTGCTAAAAGAGTTATCCTCTTGCTCCTTCGCTTGGCCTCCCCCTCCTCTCAGCTCCCCAAACCCTTCTCGGCTGCTGTGATGGGATAATTAGATGCGAGAGCTCAGCACAGATGATGCTCCAGTTGCTTAGCAACTAATGGTTTCCATGGAGACCACAAAGCACAGCCTCCAGAGCAGCCAGTGAGCAGCTCGGCAGGGCAGGGAGAAGACACAACTCTCTGCTCCTCCAGAAACCTGGGGAGGGTTGAGGTGGGGAAGGTGGGGGGGGGCAGGTTGGAGGGAGAAGGGAGGGCTTAAAGGCACAGGCCCCTCATATCCCTTTAAATTCTGTCAGAGATCTGCTCTCCCTTAGCCCACTCTGTCTCACTCCTAATTTCAGACGGTGATGAGGGTTTAGGAGAGGATCCAGTGCAACCTGCCCTGGAATAAACCCAACCTTTTCTCCTTTCTGCTTCCTGGTTATGACTGATATGGGAAGCCCAAGGGTAAACATCCTGCTGGTGGGTGATCAGATTTGAGAATTCCCAAGAAAAGCCCCTCACCCTGCCATTCCACCATTTAGTCTCCTCTCTCTCCCATGTTCTCCTTCATGTTGGAGAGACCTTTCAGTTGGGGGGGGCAGGTTGGATCTGATCTAAAGGGACAAAAGACAAGGGACAGCAGAAATGCAATTCAATTCTCCCCCTAAAGGCAGACTATTGTAGGGGAAAACAGCCAGCCTTGACCTCCATCAGAGATGGGGTGTGTGCGTGTTTGTGTGTGTGTGTACATGTGTGCACACACGTGTGGCAGGGAGGCACCAATACCCACTTTCTGGCAATTCCAGGTCAGTTCCATCCCTGTTACCTGAAAGATTGTTAGAAATGCAGAATTTCAGGCCTTAGCTCAGACCCAGTGAATCAGAATCTGCATCTTAACAAGGTTCCTGTGATTCATATACAGATTAAATTTGGAGAAGCTCTGGCCCAAGATGTTCCCACCCTCTGCCCGGCCAGAGAGTCCTCTTTACTGTCATCAAGCACCATGCTTAGGCTTTGAGCCCACCCCTCCCACAGCTGGGTAAAGACACAACCCCTCCTGGCCCCCACTTTCTTACCAGAACCCTGGTCATTCTCTGGGACTGGAAACGACACCAACAAGACCTACAGCGACACCCTCTGTAGAGCACAGGTCTCTACAACTTCTCCAGTTTCAGTGTCTACAAAAAGGAGCCAGTCACAGACACCCCTCAGGATGCCACAAGTTAAGTGGCAGAAGTCAACGGTCCTCCAGGGAAGGCCCCCATCACCTGGGGAAGCAACCCCCACCAAGCTGGGTCCAGACACACACATATACACAGGGACACTGCCTCACCCATGGAGGCCCAGAAGAAGGGTGAGTTACCCTGCCCTCCACACCAGCCAAGCCTCTAGAACCACACAGGGCATCCCCCTTCTGGCCTGAGGGCCAGCTCCCTGTCCTGAAAAACCTGTCTGGGGCCCCTCCCTCAGGCTATGGGGCCCAAGGGGCAGGTTGGACTGGATTCCCCTCCAGCTCCTCCCACCCCCAGGTCAAAACCAGCTACCCAGGAGGCAGGGCCTCACTTGCCTTGGGAGCCCCAGCCTGTCAGCAGCTGTTCCAGGTTCTGGCCCAGCCCAGTATGGCTTCCTTGCTGCCTGTCCACACCTTGCCCTTGATGCTGATTCTGCTGGCTATCCTGGCCCCCGGGGCTGCAGGTCTCTGCTGTTTCCAGTGGGAGTAGGGAGGGCTTCAGAGGTCTAGATAGGGGCACTGTGCCTTCCAGGGCTTCCAGAGGGACTTGCTGTAGCTGGTTGAGGGCAGGGGCTGGGGATGGCAGTGTCCAGGCATCAGACCCAGGAGGCAGAGAAGTATGAGAAGTGTCCCAGGCTGCAGGGAGCAGTGAGGCTGGGCACTGCCTTGCTCCTGGCATCTAGATCTGGCTCTGGGGCAGCTCAGAGGAGCAGTCAGGTTCCACAGTCCAAACCTGCCACCTGGCGGCTAGACTCGCACAGGGCTGGCTGTTCTGCCCCGGGGGCTGCAGAGGGGAAGGGCAGATGGACCTTCCATCCTTAGCAGTGGCTCAAGGCGGGTTCGGCCAGATCTGATGGCTGGGGAGACGGGTGAGTCTTGTCTGAACTTCCTCCTGGCCTCCCAGCAGAATTCAACATCTCAAACCTGTCTGGTCTGCTGTCCCCAGCACTAGCGGAGAGCCTGCTGGTTGCCTTGCCCCCTTGTCACCTTACAGGAGGCAACGCCACGCTGATGGTCCGGAGAGCCAATGACAGCAAAGGTCTGCTACTCCATCCCCCAAGCATCCCCCTGGATCCCAGAGACCCCTTCTCAGAACACCCCCAGAATCTTTCCCCCAATCCACACCTCCTTTTACCCCCTCCAGCTGCCCCTTCTCTGTGGGTCCTCCAGAAATTTGACCCTGACTTTTACTCCCAACTTCCTGCCCAGTGGTGAACTCCAGCTTCGTGGTCCCTCCATGCCGAGGGCGCAGGGAGCTGGTGAGTGTGATGGACAGTGGGGCCGGCTTCACAGTCACTAGGCTGAGTGCGTACCAGGTGACAAACCTCCATCCAGGAACCAAATACTAGTAGGTACCTGATCCAGGCCTGGGCACCTGTGCAGTAGGGGTGCAGGAAGAAAAGCTGGGGAGGGGTTGGTCAGCATGCAGGAGGACACAGCCTGGGGGAGGTCACAGATGGAGGAACAGCTGTCTCCCAGCTCCTCTTCTCTCCAGTCCCCGATACTCACCACTCACCGAGGCTTCTGTTTCCCAAACCCTACCCCGGAAAGCATTTCCTATCAAGTGCAGAAGGGGTCATCTACTGAATCCAGCCAAGAGATCCCAATGTCCACGCTTCCTCGTAAGTAACACTTCCTCCTCCCTCTCACAGCTCAGGGTCCACAGACCTTCCTGAGCCCCCACTTCCTCTTCCAGTCCAAGTTAGCTGTGCCCCTCACCCACCACGTCCCCTCAGCACCTCCGCTTGCCTCTGTCCTACCATTGAGCCTGAGGCTCCTGGTTAGGGACAGGGTCCTTCTAACTTCTGGATCCTCAGTGACTCACATGAGAGGTGGTGCATAAATGTGGGCTTGAGGAGTGCTTGGGTCCATGGCTGGTTGGTTGGAGGAAGAGCTGGATGCGTGGGTAGCCGCTGGATGGCTGAATGAGACACTATGCCCTGAGCCTTAGGGAGGCTGGGTCTCCCTCCTGCCCACAGTGCTCCTCTTTTCTCTCTTCTGCCAGAAAGGAATATGGAGTCCATTGGGCTGGGAATGGCCCGAACAGGGGGCATGGTGGTCATCACAGTGCTGCTGTCCATCAGCATGTTCGTTCTGGTTGTGGGCCTCATCATCACCCTGGCACTGGGCACCCGGAAGTGAGGAAGTCTATCCTGCACCATGGGCTTCTCCAGGACATGTTCCAGCATGCCCCCTTCCAGGCCTCGCTCACCACCTCTGGTTCCTTCAAGGCCTTCACCGCCCTCTCCCTGCCCCCTCCCCCCTGGAGCCCTTCCTCCTTCTGTCCCTCACCCTGCCCTCCAGTGCCTCACCTACCAATGTCCCCCCTGTTAGTCCCCTCACCTCTCTCCTGTCAGAGTCCACCTTCCTCCCATTTCACCACTACCCCTGGACAGAACAATGCACCCCTCTCCCTGGGTCCTTTCAATAAAGGCTGAACGTGTATGCTGTGTGTTTCTCTTTAGTGGGCTTCCTGTGGGCATGAACCTCTAGACTTGATGTCCAGGCAGCAGGTACACCAGTCCCCTTCCTGCCTCGAGCCCTAGAGTGGCTTTTTCCTGTACGAGAGGCAGCCAGGAGCCAGAGTTTTCTTTTGCATCCTGCACAGCACACAGCAAACCCACCTATCTGGGATGCGTTGAGGGCTGAAGCTGGGACTAGGGCACCAGGTGGGGACCTAGAGGCCTGAGAACCTGAGGCAGGCCCTGACAGAGCAAGGGGAAGCACTAGGGGAAAGAGTGGAGGCTCTATCTGTGAAAAGGCAAGACAGGGGCACCAACCAGCGTGAGACCCAAGGACAGGGCACTGGAGGAAAGGTGGTAAACAGGCTAATGGGGCTCTAGGAGGTGAGAACAGAAATGGAAGCTGCCTGGCTGGAGGGGTCACAGTGTGGTGACAGAGGGGGGAAGAATAGGAGTGCTCACCCATTCACTTTTGTCTTCTGCAGTACATATTCCTTGTAAGGATCGCTCTCAGGGTGGACCAAAATCTTTAAGGTGAATGTTATGGTTTATATCTAGATGTCCCCACAAAGCCTCATGAGCTTATAGGTGGGGCTTTTAGGTGATTGGGTTACCAGTTTTATAGCTGACTTGCTGCTAGGAAATGAGGTCTTGCCAGAAGAAGGTCATGGGGACGTGGCCTAGACAAGTTTATCTCCCTCCCTGACCCCTCCCTTTGCTCTCTCTCTGCTTCCTGTCTGCTATGCCCCTCTGCCATGCTGTCCTGCCTTGGAACCAGGCAACTACAGGCTGAAATGTGAGCCACCTCTCTCCTTTAAATCATAGGTGTCCGGTATTGTGTGCCAGTAACAAGGAAAGTGACTTAGACACTGGCTTTTAAGGCCAAGCCTTATGTATCCCACTAATGCCCTTGTTCCCTCTTGCCTCAGGGCCTTTGCACAGACTGTTCCATACCCTGAACTCCTGGGATTGCTCCCACCTCTCTCCGCACCTCGTTGTAGTTAGTTCATAGTCCCTTGCCCAAGGAAACCTCTGACCGAGATTCCTCTCTATGAGGTTAGTTTCCTCTATGGCATCTCATGTTACCATGGTTTATAACTACATGTTTGTGCAATTATTCGATTATCTCACCATCAGACTGAGTTCTCTGATAGTAACTGCCTTGCTCCTTGTGCCCTGCAGTCCCTTTGCTCCAGAGTGCCTGGGACATTAAATGAATAAGAAAATAAAGGACTGAATAAGCCCCAAAGAGAAGCGGGGTTGAAAGTGCCCAACATTCTGAAAAAACAATCTGGGTTCAACAGAGGTGTTAGGAGATGCTGAAACAATGCTCTTTTTTTTTTTTTGGCGGTACCAGGGTTCAAACTTGTGATCTTGCACTTGCGAGGTCCTGGAACAATGCTCTTGATAAGCCTTTTCTAGAGTAAAATACGCTGAGAGCCCAGGAGAGAAGGACAATCATCTTTTGCAGTCTACAACTACTGTACTGACTGAGCGTTTATTATGTATCAGGTGCCACAGAAGATGGTAGGCCTAAACTGTGAAAAGATATCATTCCTTCCTCATGGAATTAATGTGGGACTTAGGAGAGACAGAGCACCCAAAATGTGAACAATTAAAGACAAAAACGTGGCTGTGCTGTGAGTAGTGGAGTGACACCAGGCTCTTCTTTATTTTTATTTTTTATATTACTGGGGATTGAATCCAGGACCTTCACACTGGCTGCATCCTAGCCTTTTGAAATTTTTTTTTTTTTTTTTTTCATTTTGAGACAGGATCTCACTAAGTCCCTAAGTTACTCGGGCTGGACTTGAAATTGCAATCCTCCTGCCTCAGCCTACCAGAGTACTAGGATTACAGGCGTACACTGCCACCTTGGCTTGGGCCCTTCAGCCTAGGTGGGCGTAACTGAGCTGAGGTCTGAAGTCTGAAGGTCAGGAAGAGGGTGCCCGGCAGACAGATAGACCTGGAATTTCTTCTCCGCCCTCCCAGCACTAGCCCAGGGAGTTGGGAGCCAAATTAGCCTGTGCTGTGGAGGAGTACTGCTCTGGGAACCAAGCTATCCTGCACACTGACTTCATCTAAGGGGCTTTAAAAGATTCTGATGCTGGGCGCGGTGGCACACACATGTAATCCCAGCACTTGGGAGGCTGAGGCAAGAGGATTACCATGAGTATGAAGCCAACCTGGGCTACACAGTGAGTTAAAGCCAGCCTGAACTACATAGCAAGAACCTATCTCAAAATAATTTTTTTTTTTTAATTTAAAGGGCTGGAGATATAGCTCAGTGCAAAGACCCCAATACCAACAAAAAAAAGCGAAATTCCTGATGACCAGGTCACATGTATTAGCGTATTAGTCACCTTTCCTATACTGGGATAGAATACATGACACACACACAGTTTAAAGAAGAAAAGCTGTATTTGGGCTCACCATTTCAGAGGGTTCAGTCCATGATTGACTGACTCCAAGGCAGAAACAGCACAGCAGAGAGGCACAGCAAAGGAAGCTGTCCCACTCACAGTGGTCAAGAAGCTGAGACAAAGAAAGAGCCTGAGACAAAGGGGCCTGGCTCCAGAGAGCCCTTCAGAGGCTCCCCCTGGGACCCTTTTCATCTACTTGGGCCCCACCTCCCACTCAGCCCAGTGAGCTAGGTATCATCATAGGTTAATCCACTTAATAAAGGTACAGCCCTCAGGATCCATCCAGTTTCTCAACTCCCATCAGCTGGCAGCCAAGCTCTTACCATTGTAAGGCTTTCAGAGGCCTTTAGGATCCCACCCATAGCCCACCCCACACAACTGGGGCTGGGAGCAGGCATTAGTCTGCTTTGAAGGACCCCCCCCCCAGGAGATTCCAATGTTCACCAAAGCTTGGGAATTACTGATATATATATAATATTATATATGATTATGATATATATGATATATATCATAAAATTTACCATTTTTAAGGGCACATTTCAGTGGCAGTAAGTACTCGTGTGTGTGTGTGTGTGTGTGTGTGTGTGTGTGTGTGATGGGGATGAGCCCAGGGCCTCACACATACCAGGCAAGGGTTCTACCTGTGAGCTCCATCTCCAGCCTTGGCATTAAGTGCATTAACATTGCTGGGCACCCATCACCACTCTCGGCTTGCAGAAATATTCACCATCCCAAACAGAAAATCCGCACCCATAAATAAGAACTCTACCCCCTCCACCACTGGCCTCTGAAAGCAAGCATTTTGCTTTCTGTCTCTATCAGTCTGGCTGTTCTAGGTATAAGTGCAATCATTCCAAATGTGTCATTTTGTGTCTGGCTTATTTCACTTAGCATGATGTCTTCAAAGTTCAGCCATGTTGTGATATATATTGGAATTTTACTCCTCTTTAAGGTTGAATAATATTCTACTGCATATACTTACCATATGTTCCTCGTGGATTCACCCATTGGTGAGCATCTAGGTCACCTCCATCTTCTGGCTCTTGTGAATAATGTTGCTATGAACAGTGATCCACACAACTGTTTAAGTCTCTCCTCGATTCTTTTGGGTGTAAACCTAAAGAGCTCACATGGTAATTCTATGTTTCATTTCCTCCGGAACTACCATACTGTTTTCCATAGCAGCTGCACCTTTTACATTCCCGCCAGTCACACACAGGCTTCCACTTCTCCACTTCCTCACCGATGTCTATTTGCTTGCTTTAAAATGGTCATTCCAATGAGCAAGGAGTATTTGGAGTTTGCATTTCTCTGATTATTTCTGGGGCTGACCATCTATCTCTTCAAGTGCTTTCTGGCCATTGCACATCTTCTTGGAGGAAATGTCTGTTCCAGTCCTTTGCCTTTTCTTTTTTGTCCTTTGCCTTTTAATTGTGGATATGAGAAGGTCCCACTATGTTGCCCAGGTTGGTCTCAAATACTGGGGCTCCAGTGATCCTCCAACCTCAACTCCTGAGTGGCTGAGACCACAGCACCATACCACCATGCCCAGCAGTCCACTTTTTCCTGCTTTGTTTGTTTGTTTTGAGATAAGGTCTTATTTCACAGTCCAGGCTGGCCTTGAACTCACAATGTAGCCCAGGCCAGCCTTAACTGTCCCAGTCTCCAAGTGCTATGATTCCAGGTATGCATTGTGCACCACTACACCTGGCCCAGTAATCCTTTTTTTTTTTTTTTTTGAGACAGGGTCTTGCTATGTGGTTCAGGCTAGTCTTGAACTCATTATGCAGCCCAGGCTGGCCTCACACTCACAGAGATCCTCTTGCCTCAGCCTCTGGCATGGGCCATCAAACCCAGCAGCAGTCCACTTTTTAATTGGGTTGGTTCTTTTTTGTTGTTGAGTTATAGGGATTCTTCATATTTTCTGCATGTTAATCCTTTAGTAGAAATATGATTTGCATGATATAAACTTTTTTGGGGGGTACCACGGATCAAACTCAGGACTTTGCACTTGCAAGGCAGGCACAGTGCCACTGAACTAAATCCCTGGCCCAATATAAGCATTTTTTAATGGTAGACTAATTTGAAAAAGGCTATTAAAAACTTCATTCATTCGATTGTTTCTTGTTTGTTTGTTTATTTGGTTTTTGAGACAGGGTCTCACTCCGTAGTTCAGGCTGGTCTTGAACACATCGAACACACATCGTGTGGCCCAGGCTGGCCTCAACTTGCCTCAGCAGCCTCCCAAGTGCTGAGATTATAGGTGTGCACCACTATGCCCAGCTTTTACTCATTCATTTGAGAAAAGACCTTGCTAGGCAGCTCAGGCTTCTCCGGCCTCATCCTCCCCAATGCTGGGATTACAGGCATGTGCTACTGCATTTTTAACTAACCAACCAAAAAAAAAAAAAACCACCCCAAAACATCCATGAAGAAAATGACTCAGAAAATTATCAAAATATAATCAATTTTGGTATAGCTCAGTGATAGTGTTTACTTGATTAGAATGCAATGTCAAAAATAAAAAAGTAATCTTGTAACTCTGAGTGCTACAAAGAAT